GGCTAAAGATCCAAACGGGACAACAAAACAAAACTGTAGCTGCATCTTCAGAGGAGTCTCCGTGGTAACCCTGCTGATACTGCATGATGTCACAGCTTTAATCTCAGTGTGCCCTAAACACACTGTAAATAAAAGATGGTCGTAGCCACCGTGACCCCACCCACTCTGAATCCTTCACAGCGTTTCAGCTGTTGTTTCAGAGCCCGAGGTGACCAAGCAGGTGGAGTACACACACACACACACACACACACACACCTGCTGATCAGTAACATCCAATCAAAATCCTAGAATTTCTGGAGCTCCACCTTCTCGGGCACTGTGTTGCTACAGTGACCTCACAGCAGCCCTATTATTGGTCGCATGATGTCATTAAAAGTGCAGGTGCAGCTCAGCCGCTCACGCTGACGCAGCTCTGACTGTTTGTGAGTTTTAATGATAGCGTGAGGAGCAGCAGGCGGAGCTTCACGTGTTCATGTCATAAATCCTACAGTCTGCTCACAAAGAGAGGAGCTGCAGGGAGGAAAGAGGCGTGGTTACTGTGGTGATCGGGAATAAAGCTGCCGCACTGCATTATGGAACAGAAAGCAGCACCTCTGATGATACTGCAATAGCAGGGAGTACACACAGGGCTTTAGCAGTAATGTTTGCAGGAAAGTACGACTACGACTGAACCATCATCAGTATTCTGCAGGTCGACCTCGGTTACCATGGAGACCTGTGTGGTGATGTCACTGTGTGTCATCTGACATTTACTCAGACGGCTTCTTCAGTTAAACTGGAGCAGCGAGTTCACACAAACACACCTTTGAAACGACCACTGAGCTGCTGTCAGTCGCTCTCCGTGTACTGAAGCTACATCACATCTAATAAAACCAAGCTGACGTTTGAACTTTGAACACAAACATCAGGGTTTCCCACTGTTAGTCAAACCCAGGACTTTGAGTTCTGCCTCAGAGGCCGCCTCAGCTTTCAGCACAAGACCCTGTGTGCCAGAGGTGGAGCAGGCGTCCTATTACAAGCTTGATTTCATCATAATATCACAAAAAACACAAAACATGAACATTTCCTTTGTACAAACCGGCCCTGGAGCATCCCAGCAGCTTTCAGACACGTACAGCAGCAGTGTGAGCGGCACCATCAGGATCTGTGCTGGATACACTCGGGGATCGACTCCTAATGTCTGCTCACAGTCGTTTACACACACAACGCTCTGATGTCAGGTGACAGCAGGTTTATGGTCACAGAGCAGAGCGCTGATAACGCCACCCACCCTCGCTGCATTCTCATGACCTCGGTGACAACGGCACAGATGTTGCGGCGAGCACGCCGATGCTCACGTCACGAAGCGGGATCGGCGACAGCTGCAGCATTGTTCTGTGTGAACGCGGCACGGACTCGCACCCTCGGCCTTCCAGCTGCACCGTCGTGCACATTAACATTTGTGTGCTGCATATGTGTGAAAGTGCGTGACCTCTGACCTCCGGCGTCTCCAGATGACATGCATGCAGACGTGAGACAACTGCGAATGGCTCGACTGTGAGCGCGCCGCTTTCTAATGCAAAGTGAGCTCATAGCAGCTATTAGAGCCTTTGTAAACTCCAGACACCAGGGGTCAGAGGTCACGCTCTCATATGCAAACCAGCACATATATACACCAGCACACACACACACACACACACACACGGGCATCTGGCAGACCAATTATGTGCGTGCATATGTTAGTGTGATGACAGGGCAGCATATAAGATGCAAAGTCATGGGAACTAATCACACACACACACACACACACACACACACACACTGGGGTAACTGGTTCCCACAGACGGCCCAGGCCCTGTGCTGGGTAAGAACCTTGTATTTAGGCGTCCTGCCCTTCAGTACAGTTTCAGACCTAAATGACCCAAACAAGGTGAGGACACGCCTCCTTTACTGATGTCTTGTAGCAGGGCCGGGTGCTACGAGGCTTTCTCTGACCTCTGCTAATGTAGCTGTGTTTCCTCCATCTATCGTTCAGACTCCAGGACAATGAGCGTATGTGCACGGCGTTCCCACGAGAGCGAGCGGACAGATGGACGCTGGTCTGACAAGCAATCGACACAGAACAAACTGCGAGCACATAAAGATCGGACAGAAGCAGAGGATGGAGCTACAGCTGGAGTGAAGCTGACTCGTTCACCACGTCCTCAAACACACACGAAGCTTCTGTGGAGCTTTTTACATCATGTTTATGTGGTTTTCAAAACGATCCCTGATGCTGGATCAAGTACTTTGAATTAAACTGAATTCAAATTTAGTCGATACACCAGGACATCAAACTAAAGCTGCGAGAGGACGAACTACTGAAGAAGTAATCAGAGCCTCAAGTCAACTCGTACAACAGACAAGGAGCACAAATTCTACTGTGAGGGACCTGCTCACAAACAAACTGAAACCACCCGGTATCGTTCCCTCCAGCATCTGTCTCCAACTTGGTGCCAGTTCTTTGGAAAAGCACTCCAAACGCTAACAGAGGTGTGTACACGGGTGACGATGGCCTAAATCTTGAACTCAGACGCTCAGGTTCTCGTCCTGTTTTTCAGCCTTCAGTTCCTTTTGGCTCGAAGTGGCTGAGAAATGTTGTGCGTTTCAGTATAAACTGATGACAACACTGACCACATGCTTTCAGTGTCACCGAGAGAATCACACAAACACCACCGCTGCAGTGCTGCATACTTTCTGCTCACCGCAACAGTTTAGTTCCATTTATGCAGTGACAACAACATCGCAACATCACCCTGACAACAATCGGCGTAGTAGCAGTAGCAGGTGCGAGTAGAAAGACGTGTGTTCATCACACCTGAGTAAGTGCAGGTGATACTGGGCGGGTCGTCAGAGCTGGTGCCAGCTCGACCCTACAGCAATAAAGGAGGCAGCTCTTTGTGACTGCGTGCATGTCAACGCGGACTTTAAAAGCAGCCACTGGCGGTCTGGGTCCATCACAGAGCCGATGGAGCCGCCAGACTCGGGGTGGGCGATGTATCCAATATACTTAATGTATCGTCAGGTTTTCCATGTACGATGGTCAAAATGGCTTTATCGTAACCATCAAGGTTACCATGGAGTTTTTTTCTCCCACGCTCTGCAAATGCATCATTTATCGCCCCTCCCACCTGCGAGCACCACGAATTCATGTCAGCAGCTGAAAACTCAAAAACTGTTTTAAGCTGCACATGTGAGCGTCTCCACTAAAGCACGTGACATGAACAGCGTGACGGTTCCACGCCAGTCACTGGTCTGTTTCTGTAACACGAGCTCATCACAGTTCGACTACTTTCACATGTTATAACCTCTTCACAGTGCTGTCACTGGTGTAAAACCTGTGTGCAGCTGATGCTTAAAGAAAACACTGAAATTCATTCAGACGCTTTTGTATTCAGAGTAGAAAAAACACTGAATGGTTGATTTGAATAAGAGCAATTTTAGACTGTGAATGGTTGAAAATAACATTCGTTTTTGGAGTTTATTTAAACATATG